ACAGCTGGTGGTGAAGGCTTCTGGGAGTTGCAGTCCAAAACTCCTGAGTAACCCAAGGTTAAGAACCAGTGCACTAAATAATATCAAACTTCTAAAACAAAAAAATTACACAAAATACCATGTTATAAAATAAGAGAATCCCAATTACAATATCCCATCCAAAAATTAGATTAAAAAATGGATAAATAAAATTAATAATAATAAAAAGAATACGAAACACCCAAGTGCTAACCCCCGCTGTCCTCCTCCGCCTCGTAACCTTGTCCTTCCGGCTTTTGCTAATTTTGATGTTGTTTTGGGCTTAATAAAACTGGTGTTAGCAGCAATAAAAAATGTCGGAGTGGGGATGTTACTCTCAGGGTATAGCATGAGGATCTTAATAATATGTATAGGGAGCGTCCAGAGAAATAAGGTCCGGGTTAAGAGAGACTCAGTCCCTGGCATTTCCCCTTCCCTTCCTTGGAGGGGAGGTAAGGCAAGTCTGTAGTTAGTCCACGAAGAGCAGGCTAAACAGTACGAGCCTAGGAGGGGGGGCGCCACTGGGGAATCCAACATGGCGACCACTGAGCCGAAGACCACAGCAGATAGCACTCTCTTCTTTACGATCACCCAAAATCTCCCCTCCACCTTCCTACTTCCAAGCCTGGGTTGGTCCACTCCACCTCGCCTAGGACCCAAGGCTCGCAGGGCTCCCGGACCTCGCAGCCACCACCTCCAGCCCAGGAAACCAGGCAGTCAGAGCCCCAGGCACCAGGATCAGACACGCGGTTGGGACTCGCTCTCCAGGGAGGGGGAGGGGGAGGGCATCAAGACGCCGGTATGCAGGTTTTCTCCCCTCCCGATGGCCACCACCAGCTCCAGACTGGGTCCCAGACCCACTCCCCTCAGTGCTCACCCACACACGGTTGGGACTGGCTCTCCAGGGAGGGGGAGGGCATCAAAACACCAGTCTGTAGGTCTTCTCCCCTCCTGATGGCCACCACCAGCTCCGGACTGGGTCCCAGACTCACTCCCCTCAGCACTCACCCACACGCAGTCGTGACTCACTCCCCAGGGATGGGGGCGTCAGGCAGCAGTCTGCGGATCTTCTCCCCTCCGATGACCACCTCCGCTCCCTTCCTGCGCTCACCCACCTCCTCCAATGACCGGGAAAAAAGCTCCTGAGCCTCCGAGCTCCGCCAGAAAGCCGGAGGATCTCACACTCGAACTCCTACGAGCTCCAGCTCCAGCCATGCGGCCCCGGTTTCACTCTGGCGACCAGGTATCGAAGGAATGAGGAGGGGAGGCAGATGGGGAGAAAAAAAGGGAAAAGAAGAAAAAAGAAAAAATAAAGAAGGGAAAAATAAAGAAAAGGAAAAATAATAAAAACCAAGAGGCGAACCGAGGTGGCGGGGAGATGTGCTAACCACCCGCCATTGGTGCCATCTTGGGAAAAAAGAGATCATCCTAGATGAACATATCTTGGATCAGTCTATGTCAGAAGGAATGAGGAGGGGAGGCAGATGGGGAGAAAAAAAGGGAAAAGAAGAAAAAAGAAAAAAAGAAGGGAAAAAAATAAAGAAAAGGAAAAATAATAAATAAAAACCAAGAGGCGAACTGAGGCGGTGGGGAGATGCGCTAACTTCCCGCCATCGGTGCCATCTTGGGGAAAAAAAAGATCATCCTAGATGAACATATCTTGGATCAGTCTATGTCAGATGGAGAAACTCAAGCGGAACAACAGGATTTGATTGAGCTTGAGCACTGTCTTATCTTCTTACTATCTGAGAGTGAGAAACAATTCAACTGTAAAAGTATCCAAGAGTCAAGGGAGCATAAGAAGATTTATTTCAAAACTAATTGAGATTGGTTTCTCTAGGATCATTTCTCTGATATAATACATGGCATAAAAAGGGTTCATGATTTCGAGAAGAAGAGATTATTTGAACATTGCTGCAAATAAGTGTCACACACCCCCAATGTCCCCTGTTTGTTTTCCCGCTCACACAGTTTCACCTTCGGACATGACTTGTTCTTTTCACCCTTTTACGCTGCCAACAGGGGATATTACCCTCATTGTACCAATTATGAATTTCAGACTATTGCTGCCAAATATAACAAGGTTTATTTATGGTTTGGTAGGTAAATCACAGAAGTAAAATCATGGATGTTCTTTTACTATTCATTCAATAAATGTGGATTTGATTACATGTAAGCTTGCTTGTATTCATTCACTCAATATATTCTGACAGTCTATGTATTTCTTATTACTTTTAACTCGTATATTCTCTAACACACCAACTTTCCAATCTCTTGTCTAAACACTTCACAATCTTCTCCCTGACTCTCTGTGTCTCCCAGATCTGTTGACTCCACCCCTCCTGTCCTGTCATAGGCTCCTGCACTAGAGCTCTAAAATGACTTACAGGAGTGATGTGTGGGCTGTCCGCCACAATGTCTAAAGAATATTTCTTATTACTTTTAACTCGTATATTCTCTAACACACCAACTTTCCAATCTCTTGTCTAAACACTTCACAATCTTCTCCCTAACTGACTCTCTGTGTCTCCCAGTTCTCTTGACTCCACCCCTCCTGCTGTCCTGCCATAGGCTCCTGCACTAGAGCTCTAAAATGACTGACAGGAGTGATGTGTGGGCTGTCCGCCACAATGTCTAAAGAAGAGGTAATAAAGACACTAGTGAGATTGGTTATATATTTTATTAGATAAGTATGTTGAAAAACAGTTGTTAAATAAATAATAGTCCTGGGAAATTCAGGGGGGCTCTGTATTAAAGGGAATTAGAGGATGGGGAAAGGGAGGTGAATTTGTAAATTAAAGTTCTTCATAAGTGATAAAGTTCTACGCATAAAAGGAGGTCATTATAAGGAAGGGGTGAGGAAAGAGATTAAATAAGGGGAGTGTTAAAATATATGAGTGGAAGTACTGTAACTCCAGATGAATCTAGCTAAGGAGAGGAATGTTCTACAGTTGCATTGGGATGAGTTAAATTTAAAATAATTTAGAGGTTTAAAGGGTATATGGAAATAAAAAGAAATAAATGTTTAAAACCTTCAACGGAGAACTCCTGCTGTGTGGAGAAAAGAAGGTTTTTTAATTGCTTATTCACTGAGAACAGGAGGCTATCAGATTCACATCCTGACATCTCAGATGAGGAAGATCATTTAAAGATATCAAAAGTTTGCCCACATTTTTTCTATACATTTGGTTGGTTCCAATAAAGGGTTTGCCTGACCACATGGGCTGAGATTATGGCTTCACCATAAATTAAATGTTTTCTGGATATATTTGCTCAACCACTTCCTGAAAAGTTTTTTAAAATGCAATTTGCATCTTGGAGTCTTAAAGCATTACTGAAATGCTAACAGAAGAGCTGTCTCCTTTGGTTTCCACGGGGGGTGGAAAAGCAGCTCATTTATTAAAGAACATTGAAAATAACAGTTTTAAAAAAGTGATCCCACAAGGATATCTCTCATTATCTTCTGCTCTGAAAATAGAGCTGCTTTGGGAATTCCATTGCTTCATCCCATGGAAAAATAAATAAATAAAACTTCCCTCTCTCATCAGAAGTAGTGCAACTTGTGATCAACCCACCTCTTCCACATAAACCAGTGCTGTGACACAATGCATTTGTTGCAGCCTCTTGGTAAAGATAGACAGCCCTGTTCCATTCACGAGGTACGGGACTGCCAGCTATACTTCCAGTTGACCTTGCTTATTTTAAGTTACATCTAATACAGAAACATGTGTAAGGGGGGTAGTCACTGAATGTTTTCTGTTTTCTATTTCAGCATAAATGAAGATGTGTATGAATTCATGACAGAACCTGGAAAACCCAACAGAGCTGATGAGAACTGGGCTTATACAATGAAAAGTATTCCTTATGTAACAGGCAAGGTTTGTGTTTCCGAAGTGTGAGTACACATCACTTCAGCAAACTGTAGGTTGGTTCATAAAAGGGCTGCAGTAGGAAGAGATAACTGCTGAAATTGTGAACTCTATATGAATTCACCAAGTTTTAGCAGGTTGCCCTCTACCAGTGCAACCTGCAACATTTGACAGATCCATACCGGGTATGGAGATTAGCAAAAGGGTCCAAATAAGGAGGGGCATGAATGTTTGTACCTTATGGAGCTGATATGGGACACTTTAAGAAACCATTATCATCCCCCACCCTTGCAAGCACGATTTGAGGGGATCCTGAGGAAATGACAGTAAATCTGCAAGTTGGCTTACAAGGAGACAAGTTTATTGAGTAACTTACACAGGCACCTAACAGCTGGAACAGACAATAGAATAGCTCAGAAGTAATGGCAAGAAGTCTAAATGAATACTGAGCAAAGCAAACAATCTTCATAATACAGTACATTTTTGCAGTTTATGCCAAATGAGTTGTTGCTAGGTAAAGACATAGTTTCTACATTTTATTCTGAAAAGCGATACAGGTATGTGAATGACTTACTCTCGATTTAGTGTCTCACCATGACAAGCTCAATTAAACATGCTCATTAATTGCATTTTCCCTGTTGTGGGTGCCTGTGTATGTTCCAGTGTTTGTGGGTGCTAAACATGCAGAACTCTGATTTGAGCAAGGCAGTAAGTAGGCATTCTTAGACAAGCCAGGCTATTGAATGGGGATGTCTTCCACACCCTAGGCACACATTTTTCCTGAGCATGGATTCCAGAAGGAGCAGGACAGGAGGTAATAGGTGGTACACATTTTGCTACAAACTGAATGTCCATCACATTCCCAATATTGGTGTCACTGTATAGTGCCCAGCCCACTCCAGTCACAGACCTCTATGTTCCACATTTTCAAGAAACATACAAATATGTGCAGAAACCCAACAACAAATTAATTCAGACCATCTCAAAATCAGCCCAGTTTCCAAAGAGTTTGAGGTGAATTTGCCTCACACAGAACTAACGCCCTGAAGGATAACCAATCAAACTTGAGATTTCAATCAATTCAGTTCTTCCACCTGAATACAGTTACCCTCCTGGCTGTGTACAGTGTCTTACACACAGACTACCTTCTTTGCCCATGCTAAAATTCTGTGATATTGTTTTGAAACAATGAATATAACTACTCACATTCTTCAATTTCCTTCCCCAGAGGAATTGCTATCACATCACAACTAAATGGACACAAGCAATTACACACTGGTATCCGAATTCTTCCTTCTTGGACTAACAGAACAGCTGAAGCTTCAAATTCCCTTATTTGTGGTATTTCTACTGATCTATCTCCTAACACTGGCTGGGAATATGGGGATGATTGCATTGATTAGGATCAGTCCCCAACTCAACACTCCTATGTACTTCTTTCTTAGCAATCTCTCTGTAGTTGATCTCTGCTACTCTTCCATCTTTGCCCCAAGGCTGTTGATGAACTTAGCACAGTTTAAAACCATTTCTTACAGTGGGTGCATCACCCAGCATTGCTTTTTTGTAGTGTTTGTGACCACTGAAGGTTTCCTTCTAGCTGCAATGGCATATGACCGTTACATGGCCATTTGTAATCCACTGCTCTACACCGCTATTATGCCCAAGAGGGTCTGCAGCTACCTAGTAGCAGGGTCATACCTAGGAGGAATAGTGAATTCATTCGTACACACATTTGGATTGCTCAAACTCTCATTCTGTGTCCCTGGTATAATCAACCACTTTTTTTGTGATACTCCAGCCATGTTGAAAGTTGCGTGCTCTGACATCTACATGAATGAACTTTTGCTAATCGCTTTCTCAGGAGTAATCGCTCTTTCTACATTCCTGGTCATCATCATTTCCTACCTGTGCATCCTCTCCTCTATCATACAGATTCGCTGTTCTGAGGGCAGGTACAAGGCTTTCTCCACCTGTGCCTCCCACCTAACAGCTGTAACCTTGTTCTATGGACCAGTAAGCTTAAGTCACCTGCAGCCCAGTTCCATGTACTCTCAGGAGCAAGAGAAGGTCTCAGCTGTGTTCTACACCCTGGTGGTCCCCATGCTGAACCCATTAATCTACAGCCTGAGGAACAAAGAGGTAAAAGACTCATTGAAGAGAATGATCAACTGACAAAACAAATAAATTAGTTCCAATTATCTTAGGTATTTAGAGCCATTTTGCAATGACAAAGAGATCATAAATGGGAAGGTGGTGGTGTAGCATTTTGTGTTATGTATAAATATGGTGCACCAATTATAGAAAATAGAAGAAACCACAGAGGTGCACTGCAACCATTGCTAGAGTAGAAAGGAAAGATGTTTCATATGGTGATCTCCACCAACTTTATCTTACTTTTCAGTGAAGTCATTGTTCAAACGATGCTTCCTACCTACTGAAATTAAAATAATAAAACTGAATTTTGCTTAGTTACAAACTGATGTAAGCCTTATTCCAGTGTTGAGAAAAAGGTTAATCTGAACTTGTTCTAGCTCTGCCCTCTGTCACTATCACCACATGCAGGACAATTGGAGGAGCAGGAGACAGTGTACTACAGACGGAAGCTCCAGATGTTTTCCTGGGCACCCAGTTGTGTGGAGAGACTGCACATGTTGTAGAGGCTTTCCTCTTAAGATGAGTCCTCTCCCTATGAATACAGCAGCAGACAAGGGGATGGGCTAAATGCAGCACACCTGTTTTAATACTGTCCAAATAATTTAACATTAATAATGGTTTCATCAGTATTAAGTATCTTCCTACCCCAGCCTCTCTAACTGCCCCTTTAACTTTTTACACTTAAATGAAAGTCAGCCAGCTCTTAACAAGTTGTTAGGATTTTGAATTTGTGAATAGTGTTGAGCCTTTCCTGTTAAGAATGAGAGAAAAGAAATGAGAGATCTATCCAATAATGATAATAAAGGATACAGAGGTAGGTGCTATTGATGATTCTTATATTTTTTCCCAGATTATTATTGCTAAACAGGTTATTAGTATTGATGACCATGTTTGCTGTTAGTTCAGATTGTTTTGATTGCAAAATGCAGAAGGTGGTATTGGGAGAACCCTTTTTGATACCCTGGTCATTGGTTTGTAGTTTCCCCCCAGGGTTCAGTTCTGTCGCCCGTGTTATTCAACATCTACATGAAACCGTGGGAAGCGGTTGTCCAGGGTTTTGAGGCTTGGTGCCATGAATATGCTGATTGCATCCAACTCTGTCTTGCCTTTCCATCTGATTCCAAGGAAGTTGCTCTGTGTCTATTGTCAGTAATGGACTGGATGAGGGCAAGCAAACTGAAATTGAATCCATACAGGACATATGGGCTCCTTGTTGGTCAAAAGGAAAATCAGAGGATAGGATATCAGCCTGTACCAGAAGAGATTGCATTAGTCCTGAAAAGATAGGCATGCACAATGAGTGTGCTCTTGGACTCAACCCTGAGCTTGAATGCACAGGTCTCAATAGTGCCAAGAATGCATTTGCACAGTTAAAGCTGCTGCGCCAGCTCCACCTGTTTCCAGAGATGCCTGATCTGACAATGGTGACACATGCCTACATTTCATATCTTCTGGATTACTGCAACATACTCCTTATGGGGCTGACTTTGAAGAGTGTTTGGAAACTTCGGCTGGTTCAAAATGCTGCAGCCAGATTACTGACTTGGGCTAGTTACAGGGAGCATATAACTCCCTTACTACGAAGCCTGACTGGCTGCCAGTCTGTTTCAGGACCAAATTCAAAGTGTTGGTTATGACCTGTAAAGCCGTATACAATGTGGGTCCGGGTTATCTAAAAGATCATATCACCCCATGGGGGGGCCCTATTGGCTTTTAAGATCTTCTTTAAGGTCCCCTTCTCTCAGATCCACCATCTTTCCAGGTGTCCTTGGTGGGGACACAGGAGAGGGCCTTCTCAGTAGATGCTCCCAAGCTTTGGAATGTGTTGTCCCTTGATTCTAAGTGGGCTGCCTCCCTTTTGTCCTTCTGTCATCAGGCAGGCTTTTAAGCAATGTGGGGATCTCAGAAATACTATAATTTAACAGGTTTTTAAAGTTTTAACATGTTTTAAAAGTTGTTTTAATTATCTTTTAAATATGTTTAATTGTTTTCAGTATAGTTTGTTTCAGCATTTTAAAATCTGTGATTATTGTATAGTTTCAAATGTTTCAGAAATGAAACAATTCTGACTCATGTTCCGAAGTTCCTCAGGCTCCCACATAAACTCTTTCATCATTGGGAATACGTGGATGCCTTGGAATGGGAGGGAAAGCCTTTAATTACCAACAATATCTGTTGCTGGGATTTTCGATAATTAAAGGCTTCCTCCTCCCATCCCACTGCTTCTACAGGTTAATGATAATAAAAGGGATTACACGGAACCATTGGAAACCTTGGGAGAGAGGTCAGAAATGTTTATTATATATATATATAATAAAATTACTACTGTTGATGACATTGCTAGCCTTCCACGGTGTAATTTATGGCAACAGGATTCCAGATATTGCACCTAAACAGAGTCAAGAAACAAAGAATTAGGAATTCCACATTAAAAACTTACAATGTACTCTTTTTAAAGCCTGTATAAAAACTGGAGTGGCAACAACAACAAAAACAAGATCCCAACCTCTTCCCTTCACAACAGCTGCACTAGAAAGTGGTATTGCACAATTTGCATGCTTTTTTCCACACACCACATACACATAAAACATACTGATAAGGTGGGGCATGATAGGATACATCGTAAGTCCCCTCATACAATATTATAGCATACAATAAGCCCTAGGCTTAAGGTAGCTGGCTGTTTTGAGAAGGGTAGTCTTATTCAGGTAGAGATGTGAAGACATATGTAAGCAACAACTCCAAATGGCATCTCAGACCACAATGTTCTAGGTGAGCAGAGAACTCAGTAACTGCATTCAGCTGAACATGGTTACAGAACTCCTGTGACAGGTAACCTAATAAGGCCAGCTTTTCAAGCAGAACAGTTCTGTAACCACATTCAGCTAACAGGAATGCACACTTTCATAATCAATATGTGAAGCCTAGGGAGCGGTGTCATTTCGTGGTGGGGGTTTACCACACACACACACACCACTTTAAACCCTAAGAATTCAGAGGTGAGTATCCAATAGGGCTCAAATGAATTTACCTGAGATGTTTCCATTTCATCCTCTGCTTTACTCCATACTCGTTTCAGCCTCGTATCTCTACCCCACCTCGCATTGGCAATTTGTGAAAGACAATTCTCTCAATCAAGGAGAATCCATATGATTTAACTAAGGTGTAATATGCCTTGAGATTACAGTAACAGCAAAGTAACAACATTATTTTCTTCCTCATTTTGCATAATTTCTTCATCTAGCTTCAGGGCATTTTTAAACTTTACATATATTTGGGCATGTAGGTTTTTTTGTTTGTTTGTTTTGTTTTTTGTTTTTCAAAGTACCATGCTGTGTTCAAAAATGTACATATCTGGAGGGAAGAATTAAGTAACATTTGCTGCTTAAGTTATTTAGGATCAAAATACATTTAAACAGTACATGTTTGTATATTGGTATGTATTTATTTATATCCATTTGTGGCTGCCTGTTTCTGCAGCATAAAAGCAATATAACCATATTAATATAATCATATCAGATACAATGTGAAATAAAACCTATTTCAGTAACAATTTCAAAATATCCGCTGGCACTTCCATAGACATCCCTCTAGCTACAAAACAGCTGCTTGCTGAATGGGTGCTCACAAGTTTCTGTCACTAGTCTTCCATGGAGCAAGCAAATTCCCCATCCTTATTGGAAAGAGTCCTGATCATACCAGGAGAAATGATTACATCCTGTCCTTGTTTACCTCCTGAGAAGGATATGATAGCACTCTTTATTAAAGCAGCCTCTGGCCAAATTCGTTCCCCCCACCCACTCACCTTTGTGAGTTACAGGGAAGCCTCATGACTCCCACAGTGTAGCAGGGCACCTTCCTAACAGGGTTCAAGAAGTGGCATAGGAACAGCATAGAGCTAAGAAAGTTGCTCTACCTCTTACCAGTTTGAGGGCTCCCAGTCCCACAATTCAGCCAGAAGTATTCCCACCGAATGATGGGACCGAGAGTCCATTAATAAAAAAAATCCCATACCTAGTAATTTGTAATAGGACAAACACACATACACGCACAAGTTAGATTAAAACTGGAAATGGGCATGAATTTAAAAACGAATTGCCAAATTCATTCAAAAAACCACTAATTCATCAATTTGTATGCATACAAATCAATTCCCCCAATAAATACGAATCAATGAATTTTTAGTGATTTTTATTCATTTATTTATTTGGCTATAAAATGCCCCCCAAGTGCCTAGAGACACTAAGAGTGGAGATAAGCTTCCTCTGACTGTCCTCTAAAATCCCTCCTAGTTAGATGAAGATTTGGTTTCAGATGTCCAAGTCACAAAGAGGGCTCTCCAGGAAAGTTCCCCCCAAGGACCCAGAGACACCAAAACCACAGAGAAGATTCTACTGGCTCTCCTCTACAATCTGCCCAAGTTTGGAAAAAAATGGGTTTCCCCAAAGCAGCTGCAAAAGGGCACTTTCCTGGGGGGACCCAATTTGTAAGTGTAGAACTTGGAAGTTTGAAACCTACACCAAAGTTGAAGGGATTGTAGCTAGCCAGGGAAGTGTCCCTGCAAATTTGGTATCTTGAGGACCTTTTTATAGGGGTTTAAAGTAAAAAAAAAAATTGAATTGCCAAATTGATTCATTGATTTATCAGAAAAAATCATAAATTTGTAATTTGTGATCTGTTGACCTTGATGATTCACAAATCAAAACAAATCACCATTTTTATGATTCATTCCCATCTATAATTAAGACCAATGTTTTAAAAGAGAAATAGACACTTCAGTCAATCTTCAAATATACAATGCTTTTCAATGGGCTCATCTGATGTACTTAGGAAAAGAAGAGCTACAGTACAAGATGCAAATTTTAAAAAGTGGCATAAAAACAGCCCCTTCAAAGAACCACAATGTAGTTTACAGATTTTTTTTAAACACACTAGCCAGAATCCAATGTATCATACTGCAATCACAGGTAAAATTGTGCTTGGAAATTGTCTTGTTCTGAAATATGTACGCAGCTAGTTGCACAAGCAGCTGCAATTTGATTGCAGACTCAGTAGCCTAAGAACTTGTCAAAGTATTGTAAATTTTATAGGCCTGAACAGGTCCAGACTGTAGTATTGATGAACTGCCATAATGATCACCTGTGTAACTGCTGAGTCACAGTGATTAAGAAGAAGAAGAAGCAACATCTGGGGATGATGCAACACCCATGTAAAGGAAGATGATGCAACCCTTGAAGTGACTGGACAGAAGCATCAATTCAACTGTATATAAGGGAACATTGTGAACATGAATGTATCTCCTTCTTTCTTTTATGCTACTATCCTCCATGTACTTTGCTTCTATTTTTGCTGCCATACCAAAGGTCTGCCTTGTATATAAGTATATATTTTGTTAATACACATGTCTTTTTGTAGAAGAGAGTGTGTGTTTTTCTTCAATCAGAGAACTCTGCACATTAAACAGCAAGAAGCCGACAGAACTTCAAAAAAATAAATATTGTGCTATCATTTGCATAACCTAAAAATATCCAGTGGAATTCTGCTATCACTTACTCTTTTCTTCTACTCAAGTTAAACTGGATTTAGGCTAATGATTATAATAAAGCACCAAAGTTATATCACTAGATCATCTTTGTATCTCAAATGTTTAGTTATTTACTGGGAGATGATATTTCTGTCTTTTGCCCTTTTCAGAGCTTCCTTCACTTCTTTGGCCGTTAAGCTATAAATCAAGGGGTTTAGCAAAAGAATCACAAGTACATAAAACACTGAGATGATTTTGTCTTGATCCGCTGTGTAAACTGAGGAGGGTCGCAAGTACATGAAGATCAGAGTCCCATAGAATATAGCAACAAATGGTGAGATGAGATGCACAAGTTGAGAAGGCTTTACGTTTCCACTCTGCAGATTGGATCTTTAAGATGGTGATGATAATGGCAACATAGGACCCTAGGACAATCAGGATAGTACTCATGCCAGCTATTGAGACCAAGGTAAAATGAACAACATCTGTGGTATGGATGTCAGAGCAGGACAGCTTGAGTACTGGAGGGATATCACAGAAGAAATGGTTAATAATATTGGAGCCACAGAAAGTCAAACTAAATATAAAAATGGTTTGTACAGTAGAATTCACAAAAACTGCCATATATGATAAAATCACAAATGAGACACACCATCTCTTGGGCATCACCAAGTGGTAAAGTAATGGATTACAAATAGCTACAAAATGGTCATAGGCCATCACACCCAAAAGACAACATTCATTTGTCAAAAAGATGCAAAAAAAAAAAAAGTAAAATTGCAGAGCACACTCAATAAAAGAAATGATTCTGTTTTCAATACAAAGGTCATCAGCATTGTATGGATGATGGCTGATGAATAACCAAGATCTGCGAGGGCCAAGTTACTGAGAAAGAAATACATGAGAGTCTGAAGCCCGGCATCAAAGTGGATTAAAATAACAATTCCAAGATTTCCCATCAGGGTGCCCATGTAAATGACAAGGAAGAAGAAGAACAAGGGGATCTGAAGGTCTGGATGATCCATGAAGCCCACAAGAATGAATTTGGTCACACTTGTATGGTTTTTCTCTTCCATAAATGTTTATTTTTGTTTCCACTGCAACAGAGAAGCAACATTTGCAGCAAGCCTTAAAAATGATACTTGCCAGAGAGTTCAAGTACACATGTTGTGTCTCACAAGTCTCAGATGTTTTAGCTCTTTTCTTATGATGACTGTATTCCAATGTATAATGTAATCTAGAATGCCAAGTTTTCAGAACAACAATTAACATGAGTAGGTAGCGGACTTGATCCTATAGAGACTGAGCTAATGGACTTAATTCAAACGATAGGCAGACAGCCTGAGACATTTTGCTGCTTCAGACCAGAGATGTGTCTCTTCATTCCATATAGAGAAGCATATGGGTCTGGCAGCTGAATCTTATTTTAACACTGTCTATGCAATAAGATTAGCCACCACTCCTGAGGTTACCAGGCACTTTAGGAGATGCATGAATGGCTCTGATATCAGGGATGTTGACAAGTCCTCAGTCCTGAGTCCCAAGTCCAAGTCTTTGGTACTAAGTCCCAAGTCCTAAATCTGGAGTCTGAGCCTCGAGTTGTTTGCCCCGCCCCCTGAGACTTGGAACTCAAGACTTGATACCAAAGACTGGATACCAAAGACTCCCTACCTGCTGCCCCTTGATACCAAAGACTTGATACCAAAGACTCCCTACCTGCTGCCTACATTAAGGAATGGTCATGGAGATGAATACCTGTGGTTATCAGAAACTGCTAATGAGTGTGCTTTATATTTTGCTTCATCAGTTATACATACTTTGGCTGATCATGATGGGAACACTATTAAGATAATACTTCTCTTATCAATAACATCATCCTGTGTCTAGGCCTCTCCTTGAAGGAGAGTATTTCACGTGTCAATGCTGCTTGCTAGACTACAGCATAGCAATGATATATTATCCAGCTGCAAGTTATTGAATTAACAGTAAACATGTACAGTGGTGCCTCACTTTACGATCGCCCTGCATTACGACGAATCTGCTTTATGACGATCTTTTTGTGATCGCAATTGCAATCGCAAAACGATGGTCTAAATGGGGGAATTTCGCTTTGTGATGATCAGTTCCCTGCTTCAGGAACGGATTCTTCGCAAAACGATGATTTTTCAACAGCTGTTCAGCAGTTTCAAAATGGCTGCGGGGTGTGGCCATTTTGGAACCGCCAAACAGCTGTTCCCCCATCGTAATGCGAGCATGCCCTCGCATTAGCGATGGGGAAATCTGCATCGCAATGCGGATTCATCGTTCAATGGTGCGCTTGTTATGCGAGGCACCACTGTACTTCTCTTATCAATAACATCATCCTGTGTCTAGGCCTCTCCTTGAAGGAGAGTATTTCACATGTCAATGCTGCTTGTTAGACTGCATAGCAATGATATATTATCCAGCTGCAAGTTATTGAATTAACAGTAAACATGTTGCCTCACTTTACGATTGCCCTGCATTACGACGAATCTGCTTTATGACGATCTTTTTGTGATCGCAATTGCAATCGCAAAACGATGGTCTAAATGGGGGAATTTCGCTTTGTGATGATCAGTTCCCTGCTTCAGGAACGGATTCTTCGCAAAACGATGATTTTTCAACAGCTGATCAGCAGTTTCAAAATGGCTGCGGGGTAAATAAAATGGCTCCCTGCTGTGTTTAGGGATGGATTCCTCGCTATACAGGCAGCGAAAATGGCCACTGTATGGAGGATCTTCGCTGGACTGTGAGTTTCAAGCCCATTGGAATGCATTGAAAGGTTTTCAATGCATTTCAATGGGCTCTTTATTTTCGCTTTACGATGTTTTCGCTTAACGGTGATTTTCCTGGAATGGATTATCGCCGTTAAGCAAGGCACCACTGTATAGAAAGTACTTGATCTGCTTCCTTGTTGTTTGGACTTCTTGCGGTGAACAGCAGGCAATGCTTTCCTCCACTCCCGCTTATTGAGTACATCTGAGTATTTTAAGATACTCAATAAACATTCTCCTTCTAATAAGCAAACCTAGAGCTGACATCACTTCCCTGGGATCCTCCGACAACCTGTTAATCTCAGGGCATATAATTTATTTTTATGAACTGAGAGGAGACAAGTGTGTTAATCAAGCCAAACCCCAAAAGTAAGAATGTGACTGGGCGAAAGCTCACCTGCTCCCCAGCGCATGCCAATCATGGAAGCAGGCCAAAAATTCCCATCCGGTCCTGAAGCAACCAGCTACTCTCATTCTTAGTTCAATAGGGTGAGTGGGAGGGCTGCTCAGCCAAACGGAGAGGCCAGGCTCAGGGGAAACTGCCTTTTAAAGGCTCTGCCTCCCAGCCCGCTCCCAGAGTGCGGCAGCTTGTGGAGGTGCACAAGGTCTCTAACATCCACCAGCTCTGTGATGTCGTCATGGAGGAGTGGAAGAGGACTCCAGTGGCAACCTGTGAAGCACTGGTGAACTCTACACCCAAGAGGGTTAAGGCAGTGCTGGAAAATAATGGTGGCCACACAAAATATTGACATTTTGTGCCCAATTTGGACATTGTCACTTAGGGGTGTACTCACTTGGCTACTTAAGTTAAATTTTTGGTTAAAACTGTTCTTCACCCCTGTGGGGTTGGCTCCCTTAGCGCTAACTGATAAGTTTCAGTCCAGATGGGAATGATCTCTGGATGAGAAATTAAATAATCTGGGCCTCTAGAGAAGTGCTATTTTGTTAATGGGCTATACAAAAGCAAAACAGGAACTACACCAGCACATCACAGACAGTGAGCTGCAACACCATGCAAGCATAGATACGGTCCAGCCTGGCTTTAGAGATTATGGTCAGCCTTTTTTACCTGCAAGCTCTCTGAATATTCTGACCCGTCCAAAATATAGAAAAGCTTTTACATTAGCAAAGTTTAATGTACTTCCTTGAGTCCTGCCGGATATAAGAACATTCCTTCTGCTGGATATAAGAACATTCCTTCTGAAGAGCACTTATGTCCTTGTGAGGCTGGTGTGGCGGAGAAAGTTGGCCATGTTCTGTTGTACTGCTCCTTCTACACTGGTTTCTGTGACACTTTTCTTCATCCAATTTTGCAAAGTATCCCTGGAAGAGATGATGAGTACTATATATGTTATCTGCTGGCAGATCAGTGTCCATCAGTAACAATTAAAGTGGCCAGCTTCTGTGCAGCGGCACTAGTCTGCAGGCAGGAAATGGTGCCTTAATCCTCTAGATATATACATGTATCTCTTCATATGTGAATATGTATGCATTGGGGGTGGGTTTATGCTTCTAACAATTATCTATGGTATTTGCCTCCCTAAGGGTCTGCCGCACATAATGTATATTACAGTTGTATTGATACTGTTTATTTTTATGCAGCTGTTCTGTGTTATTCACATCAGATCTATTGATCATACAAATAAATTTTTATACATTGTTGTTGTTGTTGTTGTTGTTGTTAATAATAACAATAATAACAATAATAACAATAATAACAATAATAATAATCATGTCAGTGATACTGCTTGACCCGACTGTACAGAGTCCTATGCACTTTCTCCTCTTTGCCTTTTCTGTCAAAGGCAAAAAGGAGACATTTATCACCATCTCCAGGTTGTTGATGACTCTTTCAACAGGTGCTCATTCCATTTCCTTTGCTGGCTGTGTTGTGCAGATGTTTTGCTACTTCAGCTTTGGAGCAAACAACTGTTTCCTGCTCATAGCTACGGCTTATGATCGCTATGTGGCAATATGCTACCCACTTCAATACCCGGCCCTGATGGACAAAGCTTTTTGTATCAAACTGTTAGCTACAGCATGTGCAGCAGGATGTCTCATATCACAGACCACATCATAGGCATCCTTCAGTCTTGAGAGACTATGGTAACATGCTCTGTATCAAGAAGTGTCCTCTCCAGAGCATGAAGCCTAGGTAAAGTAATATGGAGGACAGGCTGTTACCCAAGCAGAAAATCCCCCTTCTTCACGCTGCTGAAATGGAAAAGCAAGAGCCAATACAACTGGTTCCAGCAACGTCACAGGAGTTGGCAGAATGACACGAACTGCCTTTGGGACTCCAGATCCGGATTTTGCCTCTAGGTTAACTCCTGAAGCCTTTTTCATGAGTGGATATAGCCACAAGGCAGTGGAGGTTTGAAATTGGAGTTTTCCTTCTCCTAGATGGGCTGCCTTCCATGGCTGATGAGCCCCACCTACCTGGCCTGCTCTCTAATAGTGCGGAAGTATGATCCAACCCTTAAAACTTTCCTGCCTCCTAAGTGCACACCCTAATTTAAGGAGGAAAGCCCCACCTCCTAAGCCATGTGGTGGTGGGGGAAACAAAAGAAATCCCAAGAAAAACAAACTCCTCAGCAAAATGTCCATGCAGGTAAACCTGGTCTTCAGCCTCAGCTCAGCCTCCTAGGGAAAAGGGCCCAGATAAACTTAGAATGGCTGGAAT